ACGCTTAGTACATAATCATATTGTATTAATTTAGCAGTTGGAAATCTATCAGTTCGAAGCATCGGCGTAGCGGGGGTAGCGGGGGGTAGCGAGGGGGCGCAAAGGTCAAAAGATAAAACTCATTGCTCAATCTAGAAAAATCGACAACATTAAATAAACATTTTTTTTTTCTATTACTTATTTATTACAGTTCATGTGTTTATCTTGATTAGCAGACTTAATTTCTGAGGTATTTTCTACCCAGAAAGATAGACAAAAATGGCAGGTTCGTTGAAACATAAATTAAACACACAAACACGTACAAATATACACAAAAATACATACATACTATACATAAGTGTACAATATATCTATATATATAAAAATATATTTAAAAATGAATTGCTGTTCGTTAGTCTTGCTTAAACTCGAGAACGGCTGGACCGATTTGGCTAATTTTGGTCTTGAATGATTTGTGGAAGTCCAGAGAAGGTTTAAATAAATATCAAAATGCTCGGAATTAAATAAAAATAACAATTTTGTTTTCCCTTTGATGCGTCTCCCGTCGGACGGATTCCTTTTGTTTGTTTTAAGTTTATTTTATACAAAAGTTTTGGTATTTTATTTATCGATTGAGGCACTATGAAGTCTGCCGGGTCAGCTAGTGGTTTATAAAATATTCGAAGGAATATAGTAACTATTAATAATTCCGGTAGCTTTATCCAACAGCATTCGCGGAACCCTTAACTTGAACACGCACCGCGATGATTCTGATCTCGAGAAGTGAAGAAGCGGATTGCATAGCAGAACAGACTGCACGACACAAGAATTACGAACAAAAATAGAGCTATGTGTGGGACAACGAATTAATAGGCTATGGAGGGAACGTACGACCCACACATGGCTGGAGTGAAGATAGGGAGTTAAATAGGAAGGAGGGTCGGGAGGCACAAGTAAAGAGTGAAGTGTCATCAGTGTGCTTAGTGCGAGTTTTTTAACGTTGTCGATAACGTGAAAGTTAAGTCAAATTTGTATGGAGGTTTGTTTGCCTATTTTGCCGCTAGGGGCGCTGTTCGAACTCCATACAAATTTGAGTTAACTTTTACGCTATCGAGAACGTTTAAAAACTCGCACTAAGCATGCAGCGCAAGTAAGTTACGACGACGGTGAATCGGTCGAAGATATACGATAATACTTTTTTTTTTTTCGAAAAGAAATAAATAATAATGAATAATAAATTGAATGTAGCTATTAAAAAGATGATCAAAATTTATTAAGGTCTACATTTAATTCAAAATAATACACATCACCGTAATCGATCGTAAAGAAGATAAAGACTGGTATTAATTACCATAACCTTAGTGGCTGATGGTAAGAAATTCTTAAGGCGATACAGAACACTACAAAAATATGTTTTTTTTATTTATTGCTTAAATGGATGGACGAGCTCACAGCCCACCTGGTGTTAAGTGGTTACTGGAGCCCATAGACATCTACAACGTAAATACGCCACCCACCTCGAGATATAAGTTCTAAGGTCTCAATTATAGTTACAACGGCTACCCCACCCTTCGAACCGAAACGCATTACTGCTTCACGGCGGAAATAGGCGGGGTGGTGGTACCTACCCGTGCGGACTCCCAAGAGGTCCTACCACCAGTGATTACGCAAATTATAATTTTGCGGGTTTGGTTTGGTTGTACATACTAGTCAATATAAATCAAATATTTTTACGAGGCAAGATTTGTATCTTATCAAATCTACTTTAGACTACCAGCGAGTGAAGTAAGAAAAATATAGATCAATTCATTTAAGTATATTATGTGTTTATATTCAATTTTTCACGTTCAAAAACAAGAATTTTTAAAAGTCCATAATATTAAGCTTCACAGATTCTAAAATAGCCTTTTACAAAAGCAATCGTAACTCAATTTTCTTAAGCGTTTTCTTGGGAAACCACATTGTTTGCTATAACTTATTTTATATGCGAAGTGTCTTGATAGCCTGTCGATAGTAACTAGCATTGTTAGGCTTATAACTCTACGCCGCCGCGTCAGGTAGGTTTTCATTGTATTTCAGTGTATATCAGACTAAGTTACGAAAGGATATGAACATTAAATATATTAATTAAGTTTTCAGTCGCGTGCAATTGTTTAGGTCTATGTCTAAGAGTGGACTGCTATAGGCTGATTGATGATAATGATGGCGATTAACATTAAAACAAACATGCACTAGCCATTCATATTTTTTTTTTAATTTTCCGTACATAATTTTTATTTTGATACTAACATAATTTTAAGAGGTGTACTAATTCTTTATTTTATTTATTATTGCTTAGGTGGGGGGACGAGCTCACGGTCCACCTGGTGTAAGGTGGTTACCAGAGCCCATAGACACTCACGACGTAAATGTCGCCACCTACCTCAACATATGGTTCTAAGGTCGCACTTTTTACAGTATAACGGCTGCCCCACCCATTAAACCGACACGCATTACTGCTTCACGGCAGAAATAGGCGGTATAGTGGTAACTACCCGTGCGAACTCACAAGACGTCCTACCACCAGTAAGGGTACCCCGCTGGTACATAGAGCTCTCACAAGTTGCCACTTGACCCTGTCTTAATGGCAATATAAATGCTTGTAATTCGTAATTATTTTATTTATTTTTAACTTTCTATACTTGACAGTATAAAGGCGGGCTTGATGTCATAGTCATTCTCTGAGAGTCTAAGTTAGGGGAGTGCAGAGATGAACCTTACTTAATTACTGCAGCCTATATTTGTTGCATTAGATAGGTATCGCTCATTTCTTCCTTTTTTTCCTACTTATTCTAGTAACTTGTAGGGGTTATACTAGCTTCGCAGAACGAGTAGGTGAGCTCACGGGGCTCTAACCTGATGACGTTACTAACACTAGCCCCAGCAAGAGCGGTGCTTCGCAGAATCTACCACCGGATCGGTAACGCGACCCACTGAGAAGACGCGCCGGGAAACTCAGTGGACTAACGCTTTTCTTCTGTTTATTTTCGTAAACGAGACCTATTACTGTCTCATTCGTGACCATTAAAAACAGAAATTATATGCGTAGGTCGAAATTTGACCTTTTCGTTAAACTTTACAAGGAGTTAAGGTCATAAGTTTATTTTGTTGTTTAATATTTAATTTAATAACAAACATTTAATTCAGATCAAGTTCAATTCGATATTTTTCTCTCAATTTCCTTTTTTTTTTTTTTTTATTGCCCTTGTAGGCAGACGAGCATACGGCCCACCTGATGGTGAGCGGTTACCGTCGCCCATGTACTTCAGCAATGCCAGGGGCAGAACCAAGCCGCTGCCTACCTACTTTGTTAAGAGTAAAATCGATTAGATGTTAAAATTGGACACGAGTCATTTAAAAAAAGTCTCATTCGAAAAAAACAAAGAAAAAATATTTATAAATCGAACAAAAATGTTGCTCGATACGATTAATATACTAACATAAAATTAAAACAAAAACCAAAACTACTTCAATATGAACGTTCGTCCTCCAAACGTGCATATGCATACAAAAATACACTCATAAAAAACAATTAATTCTCTTTACTTACGATACCTACAGACTGCAATCTGAATAATGTGGGTCAAATCTATTATATAATGTTTTAGACGAACATATATAACAAACAAATTTACATAGAGAAGGTTGGATATGAATAACATACTAGTGGTCCCGCGGTAGTCAATATTCGTCTATAGTTAATTAAAATTGAGTCGTCTATTATCAAAGGTGGCAATCTGTGCATTTGGACAAAAAAATGTTATTGATATGTCAATACAGATTGATTTGAATATAATCGTCTCCTTCAAAGAATACGGTTCAAAATATGCATTAAATAAAGGTTAATACTTAACCTGTTATTTATCTAAGATGTCGTTCAGAAGAGTTGTGTGACTGACTGCCAATGGAATACAAAGTCAATAATTCGTTTTTCTGATTTACCAATAATTGTCCAAAAGTCACATTGCCGGCTTTGATAATAGTCGACTCAATTATAAGTTTGTACACTATTATGATTCTATTGTCAAAGACTTATTATAGTTCTATAATCACAAATTTCGCCAACACTACACTTTAGGTAAATATTAATAAAGACTAATAATATTTAATCTATTCTCCATTTGACGACAGACTATAAGCAATAAGAAAAGTTTGACAATAAGCAAATAGTATGCATACGTGTGTGTGTCAAATACATGGTAGTGTGTGTAGTGTTTTTTATTTATAGATTTAATGTATTTTTATGCATAATTTAAAAGAATATTAACATTCTGCACTCCTTCTCTATATTCTAATATAAGTGTAGGAAATTTCATAATCCTCCGTCCGCGCAATTTTCGTAAAAAGGGGTACCTACAAAGTTTTTGCTTTACGTATTGATATATAGATTATTAGAAATAACGTTTACGAATTCAATTATTTTACGACCTTGGTCAAAGGGTTGGCACTACTTTTGTTTTACGTATTTTTAGCTTTAAAATCACTTCGAATTTAAATTCAAAATCATTTATTTCAACTTAGATGTCAGTCATAACACACTTGTTGGATGTCAAAATATAAATAACCATATTAACTCTACCACCGGTTCCAAAAAAAGCCACAGTCCTGAGAAGAACCGGCGAAACAAACTCAGCGGGCGTTTTTTTTTGTTATTACTCAAATATTTTCTTTTTTTTTTTAAATTAGTAACAACATTTGCAATAAACGAAAAAAACAAGTCAAAAAATACAATTACAAAATAATAATAATATTTAATATAAATATAGTTTAATATTAATTATACATAGTTTAATATAATTAGAAAAAAAATGTAATGGCGTGACAGATTAAAACGATCAACAGCTAACAATAAGACGTAGGTATAGCAACAATAACAAGACGAAACGTTCGGCTAACATCACTCGGTCTTTCAGATACGTATATAAAATTGGTATTTATATTGTAAAGAATACAATGATGTAAAAAGAAAACGAGAAACTCACCGATTCTGATCACAATAACACAAATAACACACGATGCACTTAACACAAAAAAACGCTAATGCAAACTATATGTCAAATGAACGTGCTCTCTCGTCGGAGGCAGGCGAAAGACTGATTTGAATTCGGTATCTCTTCGCTCGCTGATGACGTCCGAATTCGCCCGATACACGCTTCATGCAGATTGTTGATATTGCCTAGATTCTGAGGACTTCCTCGAGAGCCAACGAAAACATTATTGTTAATCAAAGGTTAATAATATAACGGTGACCTAGATCGCGTCTTTCAATGGCCGATTTTGCACGCATATTTATCGATTCGGAGGGTGAGATTGCCGTCCTACAATCCAATTGAGAATTCGATTTGATATGTCAAGGTGGATGACAGTATACACGTCGTGATATCGCGGTCGATCGCCATAAGCTCCACCCCGATCCATTAACGGTGCTTTTAGGTACCACAGCACTGGTCACCGTCCTCATCGAACTCGTCGCTTGCGACGAAGGGCTCGACGAGCGAATTAACCCATAGACACAGCCCACTGAATTTCTCGCCGGATCTTCTCAGTGGGTCGCGTTTCTGATCTGGTGGTAGATTCTGCGAAGCACTGCTTTTACTGGGGCCACTATTAGAAATACTCCGGTTTGACCCCCGTGAGCTCACTTACATGTTTAGCCTCTCAAGGCTATCAGCATCGGTAGGAAAAAAAAAGCTCCAGATCCATAATAGCAAATAAGATATTCTTTGTATATAGTACTTTGTATAGTTTAGTATATAGTTTATTACTGTATCACATAGTGTCCAAGTCCACTTCATAATCAATAGTCTATGTGTCGTGGTGTTTAAGGATTAAGCGGAAAACAGCAAGGAAAATTTATCAGTGGCTCGTTTAGCTGATGTAGGGACTTGCGTCGTCCACCCTAAACTGGACTTTTAGTAAATACAGAATAGGTTATTTTTGCTTTAAACGTTAGAGATTTTATTGGTAAAGCAGTGTTGGAAATTTATCGGAATATAAATAGACTTCCGCCTATTGTACAAATACATATAATATACATATCTGCTTGTTGACTGTTTTTGTAGTGTTAATTGTGTTTTGGTGTGCAATAAAGTATATTCTCTCTCTCCCTCTCTCTTTCTCTCCCTCTCTCTCTCTTTCTCTCCCTCTCTCTCTCTTTCTCTCCCTGTCTCTCTTCCACTGCTTCATAGGGGCTTACAATAATTCAGGCAATTTTGTAAAAAAAAAATTTAAACGAACTCTTCCCGCGCCGCTTCCCTAGTCTATGCATAATATTATGTGTTAACGTGGGAACATCAATGAAGCATCGTCGTTTGACGTCAATATACTAACATATAATCATGTAATACGTGATGCCTAATCAATACGGGCCACTGATAGAATACATATAGCTATATTAAGGACGTTTAGAACTACGTGTTTTATTTTATGAATGACACAGGGATGGACTTATCTCATCCTCTGATAAAGGCGATTGAGGAAAATAGTTTTAAGGAATGTTTGTTCGGAAACAAATTGAGAATGAAATAATTAATAATGTGTGCAGAGATAGTGTTTTAATGTTCAAAATTATAAAAAATTTGGGTCTTAAATGTCGTCTTAATAATATATTAGTCTGTGCATGTACCTATACCTTTTTCAGAAAACTGTAATAGTCAGGTAAGAAGGTTCCGTGTACATATCACTTCAGGATCAGTTTGGAGGTAATGAAAAGTAAAGAACTTCGCACCGAGCGGGTAAAATTGTTTAAAAAAATGTTTTTTTTTTTAGGAAGGAAGGATTACTTGTAACCTGGAGGCCTTTCCAGTTTTGCCAGGGCAGGTGGACGGGCACGCACGGGCACAACCAAGAAGGCAATCGAAATGTTATTGTTCGGAACTTGCATATACGCAAACTTATCTTAAAAATGGCATTGGAAGATTCAAATATAACTAGTCAGGTCATAAGTATTGTCACACAGTAAAAACTTTTCTTTTAAAATGCTGGCCACAAAAAAGTTTATTGAATTCGAATTTCGAATTGTTCATGAAAATAAAAATGTATACTTTTAGAATTTTACTCATTTTTAAATATGGAGTGGACGCTTAAAGAAGACCGTGTTATAGTATATACCATCCACAAACACTATCAGTTTTTCGTATAGCTACAACGACTAAAATTAATTCCAAATTTTCGATTAACTTTTCACTGGTGGTAGGACCTCTTGTGAGTCCGCACGGGTAGGTACCACCGCCCTGCCTATTTCTGCCGTGAAGCAGTAATGCGTTTCGATTTGAAGCATGGGGTAGCCGCTGTAACTATACTGAGACCTTAGAACTTATATCTCAAGGTGTGTGGCGCATTTACGTTGTAGATGTCTATGGGCTCCAGTATCCACTTAACACCAGGTGGGCTGTGAGCTCGTCCACACATCTAAGCAATAAAATATATATATATATATTTCAAAATATTTTCACTTCCTACGTAAATGAAGTGGACGGTAAAATTTAGCGTTATGCCAAAGTAGCTATTCCACGCGGACGGAGTCGCAGTCAAATGCTAGTCTATTCATAAAAATTAACGAAAACAAATCACTCAAAAACGAGGACCCGCTTCGCAGCTCAATACGCGCCAAGGTTAAATCACTGTACTGACGTTATTCAATAAGTAATGGTGTACCGCGTGCTGTAAATCACACATCTGTCTAATTCGAATTCGCGTTCGACTGTGATCGACGACAACGCGATTCGTGAGGGTAATGCTAATCGTTCGATAGACCCACAAGAAGGACATGCAAATTTTTTAAAGGAAATTTTGCACACAATGTTTTTCTTCAAGTTTGGACGGAAAAAAACCTCAAAAGCTACCGTTTAGGTGTCTGCAAAGAGAAAACACACACAAAGAGATATTTAATTGGTAATTTGGCTTAAAACCAAAAACTACACGGAGCTGTATGCGTTGCTCAAATTATTTTAGCAAAGGACATCGGGCACCTTTGTATGGGACACTTACCTACAGCGAACAAAAATGAAATTAGGTCTGGTGGATAGGCAATTGAATCTAGTTTACAATGGTATAGGTCCCATATCTGTGAGCCGTGGGAATAAGGAGAAACTGGACATTAAAAAAATATATTTTTTTTTACTTTTTTGTGCAATAATTCAAGAGGAAAAAAGGAATAAAAAAAACATGTTTTTCTCTTTACTTTTATTCTGCCGCATCCAAATCTACAAGAGTTTCGTCTAAAAACGCCGCAGGTGCGTGAAATTCTTCTTGATATATAGCCCAAGATAAAAAGTATACCACACTGGCGATGTGCGCGCAACTCCCTACAGTGCGGCGGCCGTGTATACAGGAACAGTAATACCCTTCGAGGCTTTGTCTTCCTTGCAATGCCGGATTTATTAGTATATATGTATAATAGCGTTTTGCTCTTATGTGACGAGACTGTATTCTGCCTCGTATTAATATTTTATTTTCTACCAACTCTCTGCGATGGTATAATTCCATTATATACACTCCGTTTGGCCGCATGTGTTCATGGCAATAAGATTTGGCCAATTTCAAATGGTATATTCCCAAGGTAAATAAAAATAGCTCGTCGTAAGTTAATTGTGGAAAATCTCTTAATTCGGGATTGTTTGCCTCTATCGGCGTGAATGCAACTCTTTGCCTGTTTAAGTTGTTTCGAATCACGTAATCAGCCAATTCATTTTCTCTATTTATATTCTCATTTATTATATTTATAAACGAAAATACCACGGAGTGATATTTTAACTTACTGAGCGGTCATATTTAGTAATTAGGACAAATAGTCAACTTAAAATATGAATTTCATTTTACTTTTATTTCCATTTTCCCATTGTTATGAATTAAAATAACCACATAATATTAAATATGATTGGAAGCACTATGATTTAAAAGTGTTTTGGTTTATGTTCGCGACTTTAAAAAAAGCGGGTAAAAAACGCCCAATGATCTTTGTCTTATACTTATTTTAATTTAGGTCGAAAAAATGTGTAAATATCAAACTGAGAAAAACTGCACCTTTTTTTTTTCTTAGATGGGTGGACGAGCTCACAGCCCACCTGGTCTTAAGTGGTTACTGGAGCCCATGGACATCTACAACGTAAATGCGCCACCCATCTTGAGATACAAGTTCTAAGGCATCAGTATAGTTACAACGGCTGCCCCACGCTTCAAACCGAAACGCATTACTGCTTCACGGCAGAAATGGGCAGGGCGGTGGTACTAACCCACGCGGACTCACAAGAGGTCCTACCACCAGTAATTACGCAAATTATAATTTTGCGGGTTTGTTTTGTATTACACAATGTTATTCCTTCATCGTGGAAGTCAATCGTGAACATTCGTTGAGTACGTATTTCATTAGAAAAATTTATACCCGCCTGAGATTCGAACACCGGTGCATCGCTCAACACGAATGCACCAGACGTCTTATCCATTAGGCCGCGACGACTTCGACGACGACGACCTATTAAGGTGTTGACCTAATTAAATAACCAGTTCATTTATTAACTGTATCTTTGAAACGCAAACCTATTAACCTCCTTTTACATTTCTTTCGGCACAAACGAAGCCTATTACGTAAACAGAAGTCGTTGGTTACGAAGGAATACTTTCAGCAAACAATTACAATAACAAATGAATGAAAACTAAAGTCTTACAGCATACGATTCGAAGCGCTTTAAAAGTTTTAGTGATGAGAATACGAGTGTCGGCCATCTTCGTAAACAAGTACCATATTCTCAATTAGTTTTTTTTTCTTTTTTTTTCCCTACCTAAGCTGGTAGCCTTGAGAGGCTATTCCAGCGGAACCTTAACTAGTAGGTGAGCTCACGGGGCTCAAACCTGACGACGATACTAACACGAACCCTAGCAAGAGTCGTGCTTCGCAGAATCTACCACCGGATCGGAAACGCGACCCACTGAGAAGATCCGGCGAGAAACTCAGTGGGCTGTGTCTGAGAGTTAATTTACTCGTCGAGCCCTTCGTCGCAAGCGACGGGTTCGACGAGAACGGTGACCGGTGCTTGAAGTACCTAGAAGCACCGTTAGTGGANATTTGCTTAAATTAGTTTTTTTTTTTTTTTTTTTTTTCCCTACCTAAGCTGGTAGCCTTGAGAGGCTATTTCAGCGGAACCTTAACTAGTAGGTGAGCTCACGGGGCTCAAACCTGACGACAATACTAACACGAACCCTAGCAAGAGTCGT